TTATTTTAGATGGAGTTTCACTCTATCATCGATGCTGGAGTGCAGTGGCCCGATCTCGGCTCACTGCAACCTCCCCCTCCCGGGTTCAAGCGATTCTCCTGCCTTAGCCTCCCGAGTAGCTGCGATTACAGGCTCCTGCTACCATGTCTGGCTCATTTTTGAATTTGCAGTAGAGACAGGGTTTCACCATGTTGGCCAGACTGGTCTTGAACTCTTGACCTCAAGTGATCCTCCAGCCTCAGCTTCCTTCAGTGCTGAGATTACAGGCATGAGCCACCATGCTCTGCCTTATTTTCTAATTTTCAAACCATCTCAATGTTAAAGAGAAATTTGCAAGTATGGGACAAGGGACTACTGACTTAATATTAAAAGTGGGGGCCTGATGCGATGGCTCACACCTGTAATCCCAGCATTTTGGGAGGCTGAGGTGGGAGGATTGCTTGAGCCTGGGAGTTTGAGACCAGCCTGGGCAATGGACACTGTTTCTACAAAGCATAAAATAAAGACATTAGCTGGAAGTGGTGGTACGCATCTGTAGTCCTAGCTACTTGGGAGGCTGAGACAGGAGGATTGCTTGAACCTGAGAGGTTGAGGCTTCACTGAGCTATGATTGTGCCACTGCACTCCAGCCTGGGCAAGAGAACAAGACCCTGTCTCAAAATGCACAAACAAAAAAAGTGGGTATTTTGGCATTCAATGCTGTAGGTTCATCGGAAGAATTTTCTGAAATTTCTCTAAGCCTCGGAACTGTATATGCTAAGGAGTTTGAGGAGACTTCATGGTGGGAACCCCAGATTCCTAGAAAATTATCTCAAGATTTTGTTGGCTCTTTGTCAATTTCCTTCTTTTTCATGCCATTAAAAAATTAACTGTCTAAAGATTTCCACATGATTAGAGCCCATGTTTTTATCCCTTTTTTTGTTTTGGTTTTGTTTCTTTTGTAAAGCCTTAACCTTAAAAAAAAAGTTTTGTTTAGATCTAATTAACCTACATAAAATTAACTCAATTAAAAGTGTACACTTCAGTGGTTTTTAGTTTAATCACAGAATTGGGCAACCATCATCACAATTTTTTTTTTCTTGAGACAGAGTCTTGCTCTGTCGCCGAGGCAGGAGTGCAATGGCATGAACTTGGCTCACTGCAACCTCTGGCTCCTGGGTTCAAGCGATTCTCATGCCTCCCAGTTAATCTCGAGTAACTGGGATTACAGGCATGCACCACCATGCCCAGCTAATTTTTGTATTTTTAATACAGATGGAGTTTTACCATGTTGACCAGGCTGGTGTCAAACTCCTGACCTCAAGTGTAATCGCAAAGTGGTAGGATTACAGGTGTGAGCCACGGCCTGTTTTTGAATATTTTCACCACTTCCCAATTGCCTCTCACCCACCCTAGGCAACCCAACCACTAATCTTTCTGTTCCATAGATGTGTCTATTCTGGACTTTCATAGACATGCAGTCATCCAATACAGGGCCTTTTGTGACTGTCTTCTTTCACTTGGCATAATATGTTCAACATTCATCTATGCTGTAGTATGCATTATTTCTTCATTCCTTTTCATGGCTGAATACCATTCTGCTGTGTGAATTTGCCACATTTTGTTTATCCATTAATCAGTTGATGAACATTTGAGTTGCTTCCACTTTTTGGGTATTATGATGCTGCTATGAACACTCCCGTACAACTTTTTGTTTGGAATTTTTGTTTGCAATTCTCTTGGCTCTCCAGGAGTGGAATTGTGAGGTCAAATGGTAACCTTTTTTTTTTTTTTTTTGTGACAAGGTCTGGCTCTGTCTCCCAGGCTGAAGTGCAGTGGTGTGATCTTGGCTCACTGCAACCTCTGCTTCCTGGGCTCAAGCCACTCTCCCATCTCAGCCTCCCAAGTTGCTGGGATTACAGGCACCCGCTGCCACATCCGGCTAATTTTTTGTATTTTTAGTAGAGACGGGGTTTCACCATGTTGGCAAGGCTGGTCTCAAACTCCTGACCTCAAACTCCTGACCTCAGGTGATCCACCCACCTTGGGCTCCCAAAATGCTGGGATTACAGGCATGAGCCACCACACGTGGCCAGTAACTTTTTTTTTTTTTAATATAAAGCTGTATCTCTTAGAACTTGTTTGTTTGTTTGTTTGTTTGTTTATTGGAGATGGGGTTTGCTATGTTTTCCAGGCTGGTTTTTTTTTTTTTTTTTTTGAGACGGAGTCTCACTCTGTTGCCCAGGCTGGTGTGCAGTGGCGCAGTCTCAGCTCACTGCAACCTCTGCCTCCCAGGTTCAAGTGATTCTCCTGCCTCAGCTTCCCAAGTAGCTAGGATTACAGGTGCCCACCACCATGCCCAGCTAATTTTTGTATTTTTATTTTTTAGTAGAGGCAGGGTTTTACCATGTTGGCCAGGCTGGTCTTGAACTCCTGGGCTCAAGCGATCCTCCTGCCTCAGCCTCCCAAAGTGTTGGGATTACAGGTGCAAGCCACCATGCCTGGCTTCAAATGGTAACTCTATGTTTAACTTTTTGAGAAATTGCCAGATTGTTGTTTAAAAGTGGCTGCACCATGTAATCTTTTTTTTTTTAAAAAAGAATTTTACAATCCAGCTGGACATGGTAGCTCACACCTATAATCCCAGCACTTTGGGAAACTGAGTAAGGAGGATTGCTTGAGGCCAGAAGCTTAAAACCAGCCTGGCCAGAAGCTTAAAACCAGCCTGGGCAACACAGTGAGAGACCTTGTCTGTATTAAAAAGCTTTTTTTATTTTTTTATTTTTTTTTACTGGACTCGGGCTCACGCCTGTAATCCCAACAGTTTGGGAGGCCAAGGTGGGTGGATCACTTGAGGCCAGGAGTTCATGATCAGCCTGACCAATGTGGCAAAACACCTTCTGTACTAAAAATACAAAAATTAGCAGGCATGTGGTGGCATGCGCCTGTAATCCCAGCTACTCGGGAGGCTGAGGCAGGAGAATCCCTTGAACCCGGGAGGCAGAGGTTGCAGTGAGCCGAGATCGCGCCACTGCACTCCAGCCTGGGTGACAGAGCGAGACTCCATCTCAAAACAAAAACAAAAAATTTTTTGAAATCCCATACAAGGCAGCTAGGATAAAAGATTTGAGGTTGCTTTTTTACATTCTCCTACGGTCTCAATCACTAAGCCATATATGGTGCCATTGGTGGTGGGGCTCCTTTAATTACATTCAGTCATAGCCTGGTAAGGGACATCATCTTAGGGAGTTTGGTTCCATCGTTATGTACAGAATTCAATACTGCCTGCACTTGCAGATAATGTGACACCCATTACAACAAAGAAGATAATTCAAATGGTGCAAGATAACAAAAGAGGGCAAGAATCATGGAAATAAGAGGGTATTCCGTGAAGGAACTGAGCCATTGTGTTGATCATTACAGGCTTTACCTGATAAACTTCTGTTAAAGATGGCTGGTTTGGTGGCTCATGCCTGTAATCCCAGCACTTTGGGAGGTGGGAGTGAGCGGATCACTTGTGCCCAGGAGTTTGAGACCAGCCTGGGCAATTTGGGGGAAACCCCATTTCTATGAAAAACACGAAAATTAGCTGGGCACGGTGGTGCACATCTGTGGTCCCAGCTGCTCAGGAGGCTGAGACAGGAGCATCAGTTCAGCTTGGGAGGCCCAGGCTGGACTGAGCCATGATCATGCTACTGCACTCCAGTTTGGGTGACAGAGCAAGACCTTGTCTCAAAAGTAACAACAAAACTTTGTTTACCTTTAAAGTGCCCTGTGCTCCTCCCCCATCCCATTCCCCTAACACTTAACATGAAGTTTATGTATCTTTTTCTCGTGCTTCATGTCAGTTCAACCAATTATGTATGCATCTCTAAACAATATGTTGATTAACTTGCCTGTTTTGAATTTTATATAATGGAAACGTAGCAGTGTACCATTTTGTGATTTGTTCCCTGCCAATATATTCTGAAATTGACCACCATAATTGTGTGAGCTGTATTAAATAATTTTCACTGGTCTTTTGTATCTGATTAAACATGAAGATGGGCCAGGCGTGGCAGCTCACACCTGTAATCCTAGAACTTTGGGAGGCTGAGGCAGGAGGGTCACTTGGGCCGAGTAGTTTGAGACCAGCTTGAGTAACATAGGGAGACCCTGTCTCTACAAAAACAAACCAAACCATGAATATGTCAAAGTTGATTTTTACATTTGACTGTATGGACATCTGCTTTTTCTCCCCAATTTTTAGTGAGCCATACTGCTGCTATAAACATTAGTGCTGCTATAAGCATTATTTTGTCTACTTGTGCATAGGTGCAACTGTTTCTCCAGGGTAATATATTCTCAAGAGAGGATGTGTATATCTTTAAGTGTACTGCGTGCGTAATACCAAATTATTTTGCAAAGTGATTGCACAAAATTATAGTTTTAAAATTTTCATTTTCATTTTATTTTATTTATAAATAGAGACAGAGTCTCCCTATGTTACCCAGGCTGGTGCTGGAACTCCAGGACTCAAGGGATCCTCCTGCCTTGGCCTCCCAAAGTGCTGGGATTACAGGCGTGAGCCACCGCTCCTGGTCCAAAATTATATGTTTCTCAGCAGTGATTAATATACAAGCACATCAACAGACACACGCACAGCACACACATGAGCATGCACACACTAACGTGTGCGCACTCCCTACACATCTACGCATGCACACACCCACACTCACACCCATCACACACCACACACGCGCACACATACGCACATGCACCGCACACACCGTTGTACACGATGCACACTGACTACGAGCCACATATACGCACTACGTACACACGCACGCGCACAACACCAGACCCGCACACAGCCCCATAAACGTCCATCACGCACTCCACGCACGTCCGCATGCACGCGACCCATCCCAGAAGCTTGGTCTCCGCCGCCTGCTTCTGACGAAGCTTGTCCCGGCCGCGCCGCCGTCGGACGCCCGGGGTCGGAGGTCACGGCGGCGTTGGAGGTGGCGTGTGTGTTTTTTTTTTTTTTCACCCGGAAACCGCGGCTGTCGGAGCCCGAGCTGAGGCGGCGGCGGGAGCCCGGTTGGCGTCTGGTCCTCGCGTCGGCCCTGCGGAGCCGGACGCTGTCCCCGGCGCGGCGGAGAAGATGGTGCCGAGCGGCCCCGGGCCCGCCACGCGCCGCCACGAGTGAGCCCAGCGCGGCCGCGGGCGTCCGCCGAGCAGCTGGCCCGGCTGGGCCCGGGGCGCGCAGCTGCCCGCCGGGGCGGGGTAAGCCGGGGCTGGAGGGCGGGCGGGGGTCGGACCCAGTCGGGGCTGCCCGCGGGGCCGGGAGTGGGGGTCGTGCTGGTCGGGAGCGGCTTCTCCGCCGGCTTCTTTCCCCGCCGGCTTGTTTCCCCGCTTCTCGGGATGCGGCCCCCGACCCAGTTGCTGGCGGGGGTCGCCCAGCATCGGCCGACCTCGGCCTGGTACCCCCACACTGGGGTTGGCCCAGCCGCGTTCCCCGAGCCAGGGTTCCCTGCCGGCCTTGGAGATGGCGGGACTTCCCACGTCGGGAGCCGAGGCCTGGATAATTCGAATTTGGCACGGGAAACATTTTGGTCGTTTGCCATTTTTCGACTTTGGGGAGTGTTTGTATTTCTTCTCCGTTTGCCAGTGAAACACATCTCAGAAAGGTGGGAGGGAGAGAGTCACGTATGTGCACAAAGTTAAATGGCATAGTGGTGTTCCCTGTGTCAAGCTTGGTAAATATCCAGAATGGGGTGGATTCTTTATTCATGTTTTTAATAAAATGAGGAGTGATCGCAAGGTAATCTAGAGGCATGTAGTTTCAGTTCCTGTGATGGGGACCATCAGTAATAAAACCAGGCCTGTGGTGCTGTTTTGAGTCGTGTGAACGCCGTACCCATTGGACAGCTGGTGAGGAGGCCTTTGTGGAAGAATCTAATGTCTGAGTTTGGTTCTCAACTAGCAGAGGACAGCCCTCACTGGCTGATGAATGGTGAGCTTCTTTGAAGCCTGCTGTGTAAGGATTGTGGCTTCCCCCTGAACTGCTCCTTTCTTGCCTCAAAGGTGAGCCGCTATGGGAGAGAGTGGGAAGAAAAACTCCGAGGCTGGTGATGAATATGTGATAAAGTGGTTTGTCTCGATAGCACCGTCAGCTTGGGTCAGCATAGGGTCTGAGCATGTGTATCTCATTTGTAGATGAATGTTCCATCAACGCTTGACCGATAAGGGTGTCCACCTACTTCCTCTTTTCATCTAGCGGTTCTGACAGGAAGTAGACCTGTCGCGCACCTCAGTTATACTTACGTGTACATTGACCCCAAGAGCATTTACTCTCTTAAGAGTAAGGATGCGGAGTTTCAACTTGTAGTGAAGATTCTGGGAGAATTCCTGTGGCCTGAATCACGTGGACTGGAATCACTGCTAGCACCGAAGTCTCAATACTGAAATCACCAAACGCTGGTTGACAGGCACCTTCTCTGTTTAGGCTCTAGATGCATCTGGTGCAAGAAGGAAAGGTGGAGCTAAGTGCTATATATATATATATTTTGAGACAGAGTCTTGCTCTTTTCTCCCAGGCTGGAGTGCAGTGGTGCAATCTCTGCTCACTGCAACCTCCGCCTCCCAGGTCCAAGCAATTCTCCTGCCTCAGCCTTCCTAGTAGCTGGGATTACAGGCGCCTGCCACCATGCCCAGCTAGTTTTTGTATTTTTAGTAGAGACAAGGTTTCACCATGTTTCTACTAAAAAGGCTGGTCTTGAACTCCTGACCTCAGGTGATCCATCCACCTCTGCCTCCCAAAGTGCTGGGATTACAGGCTTGAACCACCGCACCTGGCCTAAGTGCAAATATAGTAATAGTTTCTGCCTGCAAGGAATGTACTTAGAGGAAGCAATAGGCTAGAAAATGTGGCAGGACTGAATTGCCATAGTGGTATACCAAATGTTAGGGATTTTGTTATGGTTAGGATCAGAAACTTTTTTTTTTTTTCTTGAGGCTGAGTCTTGCTCTGTTGCCCAGGCTGGAGTGCAGTGGCTTGAAGTTAGCTCACTGCAACCTCTGCCCCTCAGGTTCAAGTGATTCGTCTGCCTCAGCCACCTGAGTAGCTGGGATTATAGACGCCTGCCACCATGCCCGGCTAATTTTTTGTATTTTTGGTAGAGACGAGGTTTCACTGTGTTGGCCAGGCTGGTCTTGAACTCCTGACCTCAGGTGATTCGCCCGCCTTGGCCTCCCAAAGTGCTGGGATTATAGGCGTGAGCCACCTCGCTTGGCCCAAAACTCATGAAGTAACTTTTGAGGTGGACCTAGAAAGATCGGGAGGATTTGGGCCATTCAGAATTAGCTGGGAAATGAAAAAACTAGGGCCAGTTGGTGGACAAGCACCCAGGCTGGGTAGGTGGGCAGTCAGTGCCTAGAAATATTGGCAGAGGCAGCTAGTTAAGGGTTAAATGCTTTTCTAAGAAAGATAAGCATAAGCTATCCAGTCCAGCTCCTGGTAGATTTCTGGGTTTTTGTTTGTTTTGTTTGTTTTTGTTTTTTTTGAGATGGAGTCTTGCTGTGTTGCCCAGGCTGGAGTGCAGTGAGGCAACCTCCACCTTCTGGGTTCAAGTGATTCCTCAGCCTCCTAAGTAGCTGGGACTACAGGTGCATACTGCCACACCCGGCTAATTTTTGTATTTTTAATGGAGACAGGGTTTCACCATGTTGGTTAGGCTGGTCTCAAACTCTTGACCTCAAGTGATCCACGCGCCTCAGCCTCCCAAAGTGCTGGGATTACAGGTGTCAGCCGCCAGGCCTGGCCTTTGGTTTCTAAATAATTGTTTTCATTTGATGGGTTTGTCTTGTTCTGTAAGAGGCCAGTGGCATAAAACAATGCTTAACTTATTTTATTAAGGACAATGAAAAAGATGCTGATTGTCATTCCTATCTGGTATTGACAATCAGGAAATTAAATTTGACGTCTGTGAATTGTTTCAGTGCCTGTGTTTAGTTTGCAGGAGCACAACTCTAGTCTGGTCTGTGCTCTGGCTACAGCCAAAGGATAAATGGCAAGCTCTTCAGTCCTCTCCAGAGTGTTTTTAATGACATCTGGTCCACGTCACAGAAATGGTGTGTTTCTCTTGCCCAGTCCTGAAGAACCTTTGAAGCCATTCAAACAGGATGCCATGTAATTGCTCTAGATTTTATGACTAATCTCAGGACCTCACTGGCCTCAGCCTTAGACTTTATTTTATTTCATTTTATTATTATTTTTTTTGAGATGGAGTCTTGCTCTGTCATCCAGGCTGGAGTGCAGTGGCATGATCTCAGCTCACTGCAGCCTCCACCTTCCGGGTTCAAGCGATTCTCTTGCCTCAGCCTCTTGAGTAGCTGGGATTACAGGCGCCCGCCAACACGCCTGGCTGATTTTTGTATTTTTAGTAGAGACAGGATTTCACCATGTTGGTCAGGCTGGTCTGAAACTTCTGACCTCAGGTGATCCACCTGCCTCGGCCTCCCAAAGTGCTGGGATTACAGGCATGAGCCACCACACCTGGCCTTATTTTTATTTATTTATTTTTTTGAGATGGAGTCTCGCCCTGTTGTCCAGGCTGGAGTGCAGTGGCATGATCTTGGCTCACTGCAACCTTTGCCTCCCAGGTTCAAACAATTCTCCTGCCTCAGCCTCCCGAGTAGCTGGGACTACAGGCACACACCACCACAACCAGCTAATTTTTTTGTATTTTAGTAGAGACTGGGTTTCGCCATGTTGGTCAGGCTGGTCTTGAACTCCTGACCTCGTGATCCCCCTGCCTCGGCCTCTCAAAGTGCTGGGATTACAGGCATGAGCCACCGGCTCCAGCCTTATTTTTTAATTAAAAAAAATAATTATGGCTGGGCGCGGTGGCTCACGCCTGTAATCCCAGCACTTTGGGAGGCCGAGGTGGGCGGATCACGAGGTCAGGAGATCGAGACCATCCTGGCTCACACGGTGAAACCCCGTCTCTACTAAAAAAAATAATAATAATAATAATAATAATTATTATTATTATTATTACGGGACAGAGTCTTGCTCTCTTGTCCTGGCTGGAGTGCTATGGGTGATCATGGCTCACTGCGCCCTCCTCCTCCTGGGCTCAAGTGATACTCCTGCCTCAGTCTCCTGAGTGGCTGGGAGCACAGATGTGCACCACCACACCTGGCTAATTTTTTGATTTTTTGTAGAGGCAGAGTCTCACTTTGTTGCTCAGGCTGGTCTTTCAGTCCTGGGATCAAGTGATCCTCCCGTCTCGGCCTCCCAGAGTGCTGGGATTAAAGGTGTGAGCCACCCCAAAATAACTGTATTAACTATATTTACCACACTGTGCAGTATAACTCAGAAAAAATATGTTCCTTTTTCTCTAATGGACTTTGTACCCTTTGACCATCATCTCCCTGTTCCCCAACCCCCACTTCTGTAACCATAGTTCTGCTCTCTGCTGCAGTGAGTTCCATTGTCTTTTAGATTCCATACAAAAGTGGAATCCTATGTTGTGCTTCTGTGCCTGGCTTATTTCTCTTAGTATAATGTTCGTTGCGTCTGTCCATGTTGTTGCAAATAGTGCTGCAGTGAACATGGGGGTACAGACATCGCTTTGACAATCTGATTTCAATTTGGGGGTGTTATATATTCAGTAGTGGGATTGCTGGATCATAAAGTAATTCCATTTCTAGTTTTTTCTTTCTTTCTTTTTTTTTTCTTTGGGAGACAATCTCGCTTTGTCGCACAGGTTCAAGCGATCTCCTGCCTCAGCCTTCTGAGTAGCTGAATTACAGGTGCACGCCACTACACCTGGCTAATTTTTTGTATTTTTAGTAGAGACAGGGTTTCACCATGTTGGTCAGGCTGGTCTTGAACTCCTGACCTCGTGATCCACCTGCCTCAGCCTCCCAAAGTGCTAGGATTACAGACATGAGCCACCATGCCCAGCCTACTTTTAGTTTTTAAAGGAATTTCTGTACTGTTTTCCATCATGGCTGTACTAATTTACATTCCCACAGTGCATAACGGCTCCCTTAGCTCCGTATTCTCACAAACATTTGTCTTTCTTTGATAACATTCATTCTGACAGGTGTGAGATGATACATCATTGTGGTTTTAATTTGCATTTCTCTAGTGATTGTGAATATGTTGGCCAGCTATATCTGTTGGCCATTTGTTGGTCTTTTGAGAAACATCTGTTCATGTCCCTTGCCCATTTTTTAATTCCTAGGGATTTGGAGAAGATACTTGCAAACTGTAC